CCCAAACATTATGCGTTTTTAAGCTAAATATATCTAGATTAAAGCTTTTTTCGTTAGTTATTTTGTTATTTCTGACGGTGGACTAATATTTTAAAGCTTGTCCCCGGTTTCAAGCAAATTATTATTATTTTTTAATTACAAACATCAGTTTCTATTGCAAATAATATAATAACTTGAAATATTTTGAGAGGCGCTCGAAAATTTTGATATATAAACCCACTATTTTATTCAGTAAAGTTGATTGCGTTCTGCAATTTACCTAAAAAAGGCGTTAAAATCGCACGGTAAATAACAAATACCAAAAAGTAATAATGGTTTCCATAATTATTTTCCATCATGACATTTATTTTTATGAAATGTAAAATTGCATGAAGAGGTCGCTGCAAAGAAAGTTTAACAGTTTAACGAAAGTTCCACATGTCGGTGGATAACACTTGGCTGCCACGAACCTGCAACTAGGCAGCTTCGTAACGGATAAGTCGCATTCACCAGTAGGCTGCTTTATAGTAACACATCATAGTAACTCTTTTAGTGGCAAAAACTGCCCAAGACACTACCCGGCTACCCAAAATCTTTCCCCATTTTGGTCGCAGTTACTGAGCAGCTATGAATATACGACGTAGCCGCCGATGGTCACCGCCCACTTTGTAGTGGCTTTGATAGTAGCTGTTACGTATCTGCCACTATAAATGCTAGTTGGGATATTTTCCATCCGCCAACTACAGGAAAAAGTAAAAGAGCAGCAGGCTAAACTTTATGTTGCATTCATCGACCTGAAATAAGCCTTCGACTCTGTGAACAGGGATACACTTTGGGCAATAATGAAAAAGTTCGGAGTATCCAACAAATTTCTTACAGTGTGTAAAAGCCTCCATAACAACAAGTCAAGAATGTCACCATCATGGATCACTGAACGATCCCTTCCTAACAAATACAGGAGTTAAGCAAGGATGTATCTTAGCGCCTCTCCTATTCAACATATTCATGGCAGCGTTCTCCATTATAGTGGACAGCAAATTGCAGGAGAGGATTGGGCATTAGATATAGATACGACTGCGCCGGCGGCGGTCTGTTCAACATAAAAAGACTCAGGGCAAAAACAAGTACAAAATTCATCACAGAACTTCGATACGCTGATGATTGCGCTCTAGTTACAAAAACGTTACAGCAATTACAAGAAATGTTGAACACATATACCTGGGCATACGAGACTTTGGGTCTTAAACTAAACATCGACAAAACTAAAAGCATGTGCACTCCCCCAGAAGATCACAACAATGCTATAAAAATCGGAGAAGAACTATTGGAATATGTAGCGGAATTCAATTATATCGGCATCGGCAGTTTGATTTCGGAAAAGGCCAATATCGACTCTGAAATTCAGCACAGAATTAGCAGCGCCTCAAATGCGTTCTAGAAATTAACAGACAACCATGACGTGAGCACAAACCCGAAACTTGCAGTGCACCGAGCAATAATAATCCCCACCATGTTGTATGGGAGCGAAACCTGGGTGCCGTACCGCCGACACATGAAGAATCAAATGGTTCCGTCATCTCTCAATCGGTCCTTGAAAAAGCTAACTGCGAGAGTATTGGAGTCACGGTTACAAAATACCGCTTAAGATGGGCTGGTCACGTATGCAGAATGCAAGAAAACCGCATACCAAAATATCTGCTTTACGGTGAGCTTGTAGACGGTAAGAGGAGGCCGGGTGGACAACTCAAAAGATACAAGGACATTTTCCACGAAAGCTTAAAAGGGATTAACATGCAGAATGAGTGGGAAGAAGCAACTCACAATAGAATTCATTGGAGAAGAATTGTAAACTCAGCGACAACCAAAAAGTAAAAAGGCAACAAAGCAATGAGATTTTTGAATGTCCGGAGTGCGGTAGACAGATAACATCACGTATCGGGCTTTTCAGTCACAGAAAAGCTGATGAAAGAGAACGCCTTCTGACCGCGACCATCTTCTGATGCGTGTCAAATACTCGTCAGCGAGTAATGGCAGTATGTATGTACATATGTATGTATGTACTCCCAAAATATACATAACAGGTATAAAAATACAGTTGGTCAAGAGCGAGATGTCATTTTAACAAATCGTCAACAGTTTATAATAGACGTATCTGCTAAAAACTATAGTGTTATTGAATAGTATTTAGATATTTTAAATAGTCTTTTCTTTATTCTTTGTATTTTTTTTGCTTCCGATGACGGAAGGATATATTATACTTCTTGAAACGTTAAGAATTTTTTGTCCGTCAAATATTAAAATATTTTTTATTTAAAAACCGGTGAGTTTTTCGGAAAAACTCTTAAACACGTGTATTTTATTTTGTTGTTTTACATATTTTAAGTTTTTTTATTTAATTTATACAGAGTGTTTCACAAAATATGACCATTGAGTAATCACGATTCTGCTTAAACTGCTTGACGTTTAAAGCTGATTTTTGGCAAACGGATTGACTGTGGGGTGTAGAGGTTTGATAAGGAGGGGTTTCTCAAATCTCAAATTCCAAGAGGGTGAAAACGCCCTTCAAATATTACAATATTTGTTATTTAAAAAACGGTTAGTCTTTCGGGAAAACGCTTGGACAAGCATAATTTATTTGTTTTTTTTACGTATTTTGAAATTTTTTAAAAAATCATACAGGGTGTTCCAAAAAGTTGGGTAATTTCTTAACCACCATTCTGCTTAAACTGCTTGACGTAAAAACCTTTTTGACCAACGGATTTTTCGAAAGTCAAATTCCAACGAGATGAAACTACCCCTTAAATATTACCAAGTTATATAATAATATCGCCATATTGTTTTTTCTCATGCTGACATAATGTGAGAAAATTTTATACAGTTTGTATGTTAATGGAAATTCTTGCTTTGCTTTATCATCACCATTACAAATAATTAATTCGACGCGAACGAAGTCGCTGGTACACGCTAGTAATAGTTATAAAATAACAGTCGGCCTACAGAAGGTTCGTGAAGCATATAGTTGCAAAATAATGTCGAGATCGCCAACCTAACCTAACCTAACCTACTCTCCGTAGAAGCTACGGATTTGGGCATTGACCTGTTTGAGGAATAAGAGTTAAATAATTAAATAATAACTATTAGTTTGTTGCTGTCTCTTTTCCTTTATCTTTTGATTCATATTATCTCACAGTAACATAGTTTTATTTAATTTAACATAGCTATAATATAAATTATAGTTTTTCTGTTGTCATATGAGAAAAAAAAAAGGTTTTAGATATTTAGACGCCTCTTTTTAGTAATCACCCTTTTATAGCTTTTGAATTAGTAGTAAACATTCCCTTTCTTTTGTCTTTTGGATTTTTACCTTCACCTTTCTCTTTTATTTTTTTCATATTTTTTTCTGTATGACAACTTCAATAGCTTACTCTGACATTTTTGCTTGCGGGCATACTGATTTTTGATGTCAATAAAAGTCAAGGTGTATAAATAAAGGCGAATGTTGAGAAATTTTCTGATGATTATATATTTAAATAAATTTTTCTTACTGTGTGAAAAAATCATTTTTTTACAATTATAAAATTAATTTTTTTTGCTACAGAAAAAAATGGGAATATTTAATACGTATAGTATTCACACAGTAAATAAAAACTCTCAATCTTTTAGATAAATTTAGATTACCGTTTTAAATAATTTAGATAAATTGAATTAGCTTAGTTTACTTTTTTTACGTACAAACTAATAAAAACAATACGGTAGGTAACTTGAGAAATATTTTAAATCTAAATTGAAAAAAAGTGTTGAAACTAAAAACATTGTTATATCTTGGATACGCAAGAATGAACACTACCACGGCCAAGGTACATAGCGATAAGTATTTGCGTATGATTCACTACGCCACTGACAC